GCGGACCCTTGGGCAGCTGTCCTAGAGTGGAAACTCCCTGTTTGAGACAAAGGTGGCATTCTTGATTCTGAGAATAAAGGTGGGAATGAAAAAAAAAAAGAAAGAAAGAAGACAAGTGTAAGAATAGGCTGAAGGCTGCGATGAGAACCCTGCAGAGATTACCACATGCCCAGCACCATATAAATAATGCTTCCCTTCAGTAGTCATTAGGTATGGTGGTTTGAATAGGTTTGGCCCTTCTCTCCACCATCCCCACCACCCCACCCTGCAGACTCGGTGTTTGAGTGCTTGGCCCTGGGATTGGCACTATTAGGCCTTGTTGGAGGAAGTGTGTCACTGTGAAGACAGGCTTATGAGCTCAGGTCTGACCAGAGTGGAGCACAGTCTCCTCCTGAATCAAGATATAGAACTCTTAGCTCCTCCAGCACCATGTCTGCCTACATGCCACCATGCTTCCTACCATGATGATAACAGACTAAACCTCTGAACCTATAAGCCAGCCCCAGTTTAATGTTTTCCTTTATAAGAGGTGCCTTGGTCATTATATGTTTTCACAGCAATAGAAATCCTAAGAAAGACATTAAGGAAGACAGGGTCTATTACAAAACTCTGGCTGTCCTGGAACTAGCTATATAGCCCAGACTAGCCTTGAACTCAAAGAGAGCCACCCAATCAGTCTACCTGTCTCTGCCTCCAAAGTGCTGAGGCCAAAGGAGTGAGCTACCATGCCTGGCTGGGAAGTAAAAATGAAAAGCCTCCTGGATCTTACTGCTCACCAGCAGGGATGGCTACAAAGTAATGTCTGTGGCCCCGGTATTCTCATGTACTGCTGGAGGAGGGGCGAACTTGTACACTGACTTTGGGAAGGTATTTGCTATGGCTCACTTGGGCTGCTTAACTTTTTGACAATTTGACTCAAACCATATCGCCCAGGAAGAGGGAACTTCCGTAAGAATAGTTTTTTTTTGTTTTGTTTTTGCAGCCTGTTTCAATAAACGTTCAACCCCTCCTCTAGCCCACCACCCAGCAGAGGTAGTAGAAGAGAAAAGTTATTAAGATATGGGGAAAGTGGACCTATTTAGCAATAGTTCTTTAGGGGACAAGCTCATTCTTCTTTGTCAGAAGTTCAGTCCTGTAGCAAACACCAAATACAACTCAGCAGCTGCAGTCCAGGCCTCTAGAGAGGCAAGACACCAGGCATGAACCAGCAGCTGTATAGTTCAATCCTGAAGAAACCCTTGCAAGACTTGTCAAATGGCCCAAGGCTGCTGAAGTGGCAAGGAGCCGCAGGAACTTCAGGAGCAGTTTTTTTTGGCAAGTTTCTCTCAATGTTGGCATTACCACAAGCAGAGCTCAACAACAGTATGTAAGGCAAACCAATACATGTGTATCGCAGCGAAGAAAAGTAAGGCAGAGCAAAGCAAACCAACGTTCTAGCTCCCACTGTCTGTGGGGTCATATTTATAGTCCTTTATCATGTGTCCTTTCACTTGTCTGCCATAGCAAAACATCCTTTCACCTGCATCTGCTTCAGGAAAACATTCTTTCACCTGTGTGTCCCAACAAAACATTTGACACAACTGACTTTCCAAAGAAACTACAAGTTTCCACTTCAAACCTCCATTTGAGGAGCTGCTTCCATCAGACTGGCCCGTGGGCGTGTCTGGGGGCCCATGTTTTTGATTGGTGATTGATTGGGTGGGTCCAACCAATTGTGGACAGTGCCAACCTAGGCAGATAGTCCTGGGTTGGATAAGAAAGCAGGCAGGTGAGCAAGTCTTGGGGAAGCAGCCAATAAGTGTAGGTAGAGGTGTTTCTGAATGGCCTCTGCTTCAGTTCCTGCCTTGTCTTTCTTAGGACTGTAACCTGTTGGTCTAAGTAAACCTTTTATTTGACAAGTTGGTTTTGGTTGATATTTTATCACAGCAACAGAAAGTACATAGTGTTAGGTCTTAAACCTCAACAAATGGCCAAGGTTCCTATTAACATATCAAAGCTGACACTGGCTGCCAGGCTCTCCCAGCATCCCTCAGTCCCTACCGGCTCTAGGGTCCTCCTGGCCAGCATACCCTACCCCTTATCTTAATCTTCTCTGACCCAGGGACTGGGTTGGGCTTTCCTTCCCCAGTAGCTCTTTCCTATATAATCCAGTCATTTTGCTATGCTGGTCCTTTTTACCCTTTTGGCCTCTTGATCTTCTGGTCTCCTGGCTCTCCCTCTCCCTTCTCCCTTCCCCCTTCTCCTCCTGTGGCCCAGCTCAGGGTCAAGTTCACTGTGGACTCTTCCAGGTGTCTCTGCCTCTGCTCCTCCTCAGACGGCGCTCAGTTGGCTGAGCTCAGTTGTAGCTCTTACTGCACACAGGGAGAAATGATGCAAACACTCCTCTCAGATGTGTCTTTGTTTTGTTTGTTTGTTTTGGTGTATTTCAAGATAGGGTTTAGTCCTGGCTGGCCTGGAACTCAGGGATCTTGCATGCCTCTGCCCCCGTGCTTAAATCAAAGGTGAGCACCACACTGCTCGGTTTACCTTTGGTTCCTCTTATGTCCCTTTCTATGGTGTTCGTGTCTTTCCTGGAAGATATGAACAATTATCTATTCTCCCTTGGCAGGGCACCAAACCTAGACCTCATGTTTAGCTTGGTGAATCAGCGAGTTCGGTTTGGGTGGATGCTAACAGGAGCATGGAGAGCTCACGGGCAACTACGCCACTTCAGTCTCTGACCCAACCACCAGTAACTGCTCTTCACCCTGGGAGGGTGAGTCGAGTGCAGCGCTTTACAAGCCCGAGAGCCCACTCTCCTTCTACAGTGAATGTCAGTGGGTCCAATCTTGTGAGGGTCTCATGTGGGTAATCCCAGCTGCTCTGACAGCAGCAACCATGTGGTGCCAGAGCACAGCCTTCCATAGCTGGAGGCTACAGGGAACTTAGAGGAGACACGCTGAATGAAGAAAAGAAATAAAAAGGAGAGGAAAGGATATGGCTGCTCCTACGTATGTATGGAGAGGGAGACAGTTTATCGTAGATAAAAGGGAGAGTGTAGGTAGAGGTGGAGACATCCAGAGTGGAAAGGCTAGACTGAGCTGGACCATGTGGGTAGAGGGGGAGATGGGGTGTAGCTGTCAGGAGTCCAAAGGGACAAAAGGAACTGGTAATCAAAATGTCGGTATTCTATAGGGATGAGCCTGTGGGGGAAGGGTAGCCCAGCCTCTGAGCTGCAGAGTTCAGGTTTGAGGAAGGGTTGTACCAGCCATACCAAGTCTGGTAGGAACTGAGGGATGCTGGGAGAACCCCGCAGCCAGGTCAGCTTTGATATGTTAATATGCACCTCAGCGGCTAGTCCCGGTTTGAAACTTAATAACAATTAAGGCCTAGTGTCAAAAGAAGCAGAGACTGGAAAGGTGTAGCTATACGCTAAGGGATATCAGGGACTTTGGATAAAAGCTAGAAGCTAGAACAAGACTAGAAAGGATTCTTCCAATGACGCTTCAGAGGTGAATGGCAGAGCTGATAACCCATTCCAGGCTTGCAGCCTCAGGAAGGGACAGGAAGTCGGTTTCTACTGTGAAAATGAACTCAGTTTGTGGTGGTGGCAGAGAAGTCCTAGAAACAAACCCAGTGGAAACAGGAAAGAAGCTCTTGGCACTGTGTTAATCTTAGTGAAAACCAACTCTATTTGGGGATAACATGCTGTGCTCAAATACCTTAAATATCTTGAAACACCCATACGGTACTAACATTTAGGTTATCAACTAACAATAAGTTATAACAATAACTGGCATGAGTGGGTTTTAGTATTGTAGACTATCTGTCATAGAGCATGCAATGTAAAAGTGATCAAAGAGAACGTAGTTGATTAATAATAATGATAATAATAAGGTAATTTGAATCATTTGCCACGTTTGCCAAGTTATATTTTCTGCTGATTGTAACGTTCATTGGTGGAACCCCTTCACAGGTTTAACAGTAAACAAAAGAAGCCTTTAAAATATGCGCCATACCCAAAAACTGTTCCTCAAAATTTCCTTGAGAATTTCAGCGGTAAATAGAAAATTCTTCAGCTGCTGCCATTATTTAGCGAAGGGTAGCTAGCAGGTGATGCTGATGACATTCCAACAGTTTCTGTAATTCTAGCGTGGGTACTAGTCACCACCCAGAGCGTGGGGGGTGGGGTGCGGACAGTGGTGTCTTTGAACACGAGAATCAGATCACAGGGGGCCAGGACTCAGAGGCTGGAATGTAAAGAAGTTTCCAGGATTTTCCCGTGTTCAGCCAAGGCGGTCAGAAAAAGCGCCCTAGGGCAGGGGCAGGCTAAGGAAAAAGAAGTACTGCAAACGATTCTTTCTTTCCCGAGACAGGGTTTCTCTATGTAGCTCTGGCTGCCCTGGAACTCACTCTGTAGACCAGACTGGCCTCGAACTCAGAAATCCACCTGCCTCTGCATCCCAAGTGCTGGGATTAAAGGCGTGCGCCACCACCGCCCGACCGTAAACGAGTATTTCTTAAGACACTTTCTCAGATGTTTGTTTGTTTCTTATTGAGACAGGGTCTGTCTATGTAGACCAGGCTGGCCTCGAACTCTCATGGGTTCGTCTGCCTCCATGGTGCCGGTAATCTCACCATGAACCTTCAAGGACGTTATATCAGACCAGTTAGCATCTAAGACCTATTTTTCAAATTATAACTTAGGCAATATTGACTGTTCCTGTTTGGCGCCACCGGCAACCCAAGGATCGTTCCCGAGGGCTTTAATAGCACTTTACCGCAACCTGAGTAATGTATTATCCAGGACCGGAAAGACTAGACCCACAGCTCTGGGATCACGAGGCCCCGCCCTCCTCGGGGGGCCCCGCCCACTTCCGGACACGGCGCCCCGCCCACCCGCGTCTCCGGAACCTCGGCTTGGCCGGGCTCGGTTGGTCTGTTCTGTTTCTCTGTTCCGCGTCTGACTTACGCGCTGTTTTGTTTGCGACGCTGTCGCAGAAGGGTGCGCTTTACGGCCGCGGGGGACGCAGCGAGCCGGCGCCAGGGCCACTCGGCCGGGAAACAGGCTAGGCGGGCGAGGTTGATGCCCGGCGGCGGGACGAGCACGGCGCCTGGCCGGCTTCTCTCCCCAGCGGATCCCAGAGGGGCGCGGGAGGCGGCGGCGTTCCGGAGCATCCCGGCGAGCTCGAGCGGAGGCCGAGGCGGAACAGGAGGCCCCGGGCCGGGGATTGGAGGCCCCGCGGGCAGGATGAGCCTGACCCCGAAGGAGCTCTCGAGCCTGCTGAGCATCATCTCCGAGGAGGCGGGCGGCGGCAGCACCTTCGAGGGCCTGTCCACCGCCTTCCACCACTACTTCAGCAAGGCCGACCACTTCCGCCTGGGCTCGGTGCTAGTGATGCTGCTGCAGCAGCCGGACCTGCTGCCCAGCGCGGCGCAGCGCCTCACGGCGCTCTACCTGCTCTGGGAGATGTACCGCACCGAGCCGCTCGCCGCCAACCCGTTCGCGGCCAGCTTCGCGCATCTGCTCAACCCGGCGCCGCCCGCCCGCGGGGGACAGGAGCCCGACCGGCCTCCGCTCTCAGGTACGTCCCGCAGCCAGCTGTTCTACGGGAGCTCGTCGCTAGAAATATTCAGCCTCCTTGGAGAGGATCGACCCTCCGTTTCCATACTTTCTTTCACTAAAGTAGGGGAGGGGTAGTCAGAAGTTTGCAGAAGTTGCAAGCTTTTTTTCAGATTCACTGCACTCCAGATGATCCCTCCCAATCAAAAAGCCAACGCACCGTACAACCCAATGAAGGGCTGGGCATGTTTTAGTATGTCAGATACGGTTCATTTATTATTGTAAGGTCCTGAAGTATGCGAACTTACAGCCAATGGCAGAGTCAACACCCTTTTTAAGCCTCGGTGTAAAGAAGTCGACATTTAGAACCTGAAGAAGTGGCAGGTTGCAGTCCACATTACACAACATCTAAAGTCTTTGCAGCCGCCACCTTCCTTGGTCTGCTGTAATACTATGCGAGCAGAGGATGAAGTCGTTTCTCATTAACTGTTCGAAGATGCATGTGTCCTGGGCAGTATTGTGGAATACTTACTTTTGCAGCCCTGCTAAGATCAGGCATAGATTATATCTGAGGATGCTCCCCCAACTTTGGCGCCTCGGATGGAACTCAGCGTCACTTCCTCTATACCACAAGCTTAGCCCAGGACTCTCGGACAGCTGTACTCCAGTCACAGGCTGCATTTTAGATTTTTTTTTAAAGTATTTTTAAACTGGCCTGTACACCAAGCCCTAGAAATCATTTTGAATGCCAACATATGTACGCTTTAGCCTTTGCAGGAATCGAAATATTTGACAACAGAAAATTCTCAACAGTTATTAAACCGTACGTTTCATTGACATTTCCATAGATGACAGAATCTCAAGTGACATATTTGTTTATGGAGTACTGTGTATACTAAATGTATATATTTGACTAACTGGAACTCAGTTACATTTAGTTCATAAAAATGGCTCGGTGTGGTAAGTAGCAAATGCTGAGTTTCAAGTTAACTTTTAAAGTTAAATTTTAAAAATTGAAAAGTAATCATTGGAAAGAAATCGGTATGCATTTTTATTTGCAGGGTTTTTGCCTCCTATAACTCCACCAGAAAAGTTTTTTCTTTCCCAGCTCATGCTGGCACCCCCAAGGGAACTGTTCAAAAAGACACCTCGCCAGATTGCGTTGATGGATGTTGGAAACATGGGACAGTCTGTGGACATTAGCGGCCTTCAGTTAGCCCTGGCAGGTAAGGAAGGGCCAGTGATTTGAACATTCTGTCTGTTCTTGACAACCTCTATTTAAAATCAAGATTTTTTTTTTTTTAAATTTACACTTTTGCTTGTTTTTGTTTGATCTCTCCTAACCCACCCTGTCCTCCTTTCCCGGTCTGTCTGTCACCCCCTCTTTTGTTAGTTACTTTTTTTTGAGGCCAGGTTTCTTTGTGTAGCCTTGGCTGTCCTGGAATCTGCTGTGTAGACCATGCTGGCCTCTAACTGGGCGCTTGCTGGCCGACTCCTGAGTACTTGGCAAATGGGCATGCAGCCCCAGGCTGGCTCCCATCACTGGTCACGACCTTGAACCCCAGTGTCCTCTTTCACTCTCCTTTCTTTTTTCTTTTTTCTTTTTTTTTGGTTTGGTTTGGTTTTTCGAGACAGGGTTCCTCTGTGTAGCCCTGGCTGTCCTGGAACTCACTCTGTAGACCAGGCTAGCCTCGAACTCAGAAATCCGCCTGCCTCTGCCTCCCAAATGCTGGGATTAAAGGCGTGCGCCACCACCGCCCGGCTTCACTCTCCTTTCTGTTTCCTCCTTGCGTGCTTCTGATTGACATCCAGCCCTGCCTCAGCCCTGCTCCTCCCCGCTGTCCACCTTTTCTGTTGGGTTATCTTAATATTATTATTGGTTTATAGGAGTTAAAGATACTTACTTTATACCTCCGCTCTGTTCATGGTGTTCTCAATTTTAAAATGTTCTGTGTGTCTGCTCCCACCTCCCCACCCCCTCCCCACCCTCACCCCACCCCCAGTTTCAAATAGCAAGGCTGGCCTTGGATTCTTGTTGTCTCCACTTTCTAGATGCTGGGATTACAGGTCTAGCTTAAAGGCTCTAAATGCTTGTTGTCTGGCTCTGTTCCAGAACGCCAGTCTGAACTGCCAACCCAGAGCAAAGCCAGCTTCCCAAGCATCCTCAGTGACCCAGACCCGGATTCCTCTAACTCTGGATTTGACAGCTCAGTTGCCTCTCGGATCACAGAGTCTTTAGTCAGTGGACCAAAACCGCCCATTGAAAGTAGGTATATGTGAACTAGTTTTATGTTCTCAGGTTTATATTCTAGCAGCACTCTTGAATTTTAAGTTTTTTTGCAGTACCCGTTTTCACTGATGACAGACTTCCTGCCTCGCCTTCTAGAATATAGCTGGTACCAGCCAGTTATACACTAGGATGTTTATTGCTTGTTTGATAAACACACACACACACACACACACACATACACACACACACACACACATACACGCCGGCCTGCAGATAGAAATTCAGATTTTACCAAAATGAATGTTTTTGTTCTAGTGAGACAGTCTCACGTAGCACTGAGTAGCCTTGAAGATTCCTGTGTAGTTGAGGATGACCTTAAAGTCCTGGTCCTTATACTTCTGTCTCCCAAGTGCTATGGTTACTGAGGTGTGCCATGGACAGCTTTGTTTGCTTATAGTGTTTGGGCTCAAACCCAGGAGTGCTTGTGTAAAAGGAAAGTACGCCCCAGCTAAGCACTATCTCCAGCCCCTTAGACGACTCTCCTGACTTCTGCCCTTTTATACTTCAGTGAGCTTATCAACACCTTCTGTCTTACCATTAGCTGACTTGACACTTTGTATTCTGCTTTAACTGGAAACAAACCAAAACCAAACTGAAACCCATGGGTACCATTTGGTTTTAGCAGCTTCTGGGTGGTTTGAGTGATGAATAGGGGTAGGAGCATCATCCCCTGATCTCAGGACTTCCAGGATTTTGAAGCTTACAGCAAATGTGACTTGCATTTGGTTTAATCTCTGTGGTATAAGAGGATTTACTGTTTGAAGTTTCAGCTTGTTACAAGCCTGTCTACAGTTATGTGATGGTTTTGGGTTTTTGAAGACAGGATTTCTCTAAGTAGCCCTGGCTGTCCTAGAACTCACTCTGTAGACCAGGCTGGCCTGGAACTCAGAGATCCACTTGCCTCTGGGTTTGATTGCAAGACCATTAGTCAGCTATGTACATAACTGAGTAGCTGCACCTCGGCATCTGCACTTCACAGGACAAGTGCTTCCTTGTTCTGAAGGCTGTCTTTGTAAGTGTGTGAGGACAGACACAGGAATTTACTCCGGTGATGCTGGTGAGTGGATCCTGGAGATGTTTACTTGGTGATTCTTTGCCAGGAAAAAGCCAACTCCCCAATTTGCCTGAGAGTAGGATCCATAAAACAACAAACCACCTTCTGTCCTATATGGAAAATGATCTCTGGAAGGCTGGTGATGAGACTGGGTAAAATCTACCCTCAAGACAAAAGGAGAGAACTTAACTGCTCTACACTAGAAGCAGCAGAGAGGGACTGGAAATTTCTGTTTTTATCTCCTGAGCCTTTTGTGGAGCTTAGCAGGCAGACAGGACCCACAGCTGGATAGATAGCTGGGTATCTATCTTGTTAAGTACTGAGATTTATAGTCTAAGTTGTCTTTCTTGAGAGTGGTCAAATATTTGGTATACATAGCATGGTGGGTCACTGGAGTTAGGGTTCAAATATTTATATAAGAACGTAATAAGGCACTGGGGCAGGCTGTGTGCTTGGTTGTCATGGCGGAGGCTTTAGCGTTTCTTTCTGGCTTTTCATCTGTGTAGCAACCAAATGAAGTATGATGTTAGTTCAGAAGTACTAACTAGTTTATTGTTAACTAGTATGTCAATAATTGATAACTTACACATCAACCTTGAGTTGTGGGGATAGCCCCAAACATTCTATATAACATTCCTAGGTCTTAGGGGCCAAACAAAAGGGGAAAAAAATTTTAGTTATATGTTAGATGTGGTGACAAATGCCTTTAATCCCAGCACTCAGGAAGCAGAGGCAGACAGATCTCTGTGAGTTTGAAGGTAGCCTGGTCTACATAATGAATTCCAGGACAGCCAGGGACATGAGACTTTTAAGATAAGACTCGAAATCATCATCACCTGCCAGTTTGACCTCTGCGTCCTCAGCCTAAGTGCATATGCTTGCGTTAGAACTCAATTCATGCTCATGCTTTCCTGTCTCTAAAGAGCAGACTTGGATCTAGCATCATGCTGATGGAGTGTGTGCATGCATGTATGCACACAAGCTCGGTTATCATTTGAGCAGAACTCTGATTTTACATCATTACTGTTTGAAGCATGTTTTATCATGTGTCCTTATTAAAGGCACCCTTGTACTTCATTAAATGCGTATAGGGTATGTGCAAATGTTAGCTTGCTGACAGTCATGACTTATTCTCATTATAGGCCATTTTCGGCCAGAGTTTATCCGCCCACCACCACCTCTCCACATCTGTGAGGATGAACTGGCCTGGCTAAATCCTACAGAACCCGAGCATGCCATTCAGTGGGACAGATCAATGTGTGTGAAGAACAGCACTGGTGTGGAGATCAAGCGGATCATGGCAAAAGCCTTCAAAAGCCCTCTATCTTCTCCCCAACAGACGCAAGTATGTGTGTATTACTCGGTCCCATCTGTGCCCATCACAGGGGGTTCTTCCCATGAAGTAGTAATTGAGCAGTCAGCCGTTGATGTGAGCCAGGGGAAGGAGCATCGGAGGTCTTCACAATCCCAGCCGTGTGCTCTGGCCTTTCCTTGTTTGACAGTTTTGCTCTGAGGGGATAAGAGGTCTAATGACTGAAAATATCTAGACTCTTGAGTTTTGTCTGAGAGAGGTAGGCTAGAGCAGGTCTCAGTCAGAAGCACTGCTCCAGGTGCACACCAGTCCGGCAAGTCATCTGCATCGCTGACAGCTGGACAGGCTGGACAGCAACTCCAGAGGTGTATGGAGTTAGTAATGCTCTAAAAAATGAGGTTCAGGGAATGCTCTAGACTTTAGCTACAATGTTTAGTGGCAGACTGAGGTTATCTCTCCTGCTACGAAAGGTGGTTACAACTAGCTGGATCCCCTGAGGAAGAGCAAAGATCCCAAGTGGTTGTAGATTTTATTAGATTCACACACTTTCAAGTTAGAACTGGTAGGAAGATACTGTTACCTCCAACCTAGTTTTTCATTTAAAATACGGATTTTTAAAAAGATGTGTTTTATGTGTATGGGGGTTTTGTCTGCTGTGTATCTGTACCGTGTGCATGCAGTGCCCACAGATGCCATAAAGGGCATCAGATTATCTGGAACTGGGCTTTCAGATGTTGTGAGCCTCCACATGGTGCTGGGAACCAAACCCTGGTCCTCTAGAGAGTAACAAGTGCTCCTGATCACTAAACCATTTCCCAGCCTCTCCCAAATATTTTAAGTGACGTAATAACAATTGTTTGTAGTTTCAGTTTGCTCTTAGATTATCATGAAACAGAGCAGTGTAGAATACACAAGTAGATGAGAGAAGATAGAGTTAGAAGGGAGGGTGTGATGCACTCCCTGTAACCCTAGCATGTAGAAGGCAGAGATTGAGCCTCAGCAGTTACAGGCTCCATGAGACAGGGAACTTGAAGCCAGCCTGGGCACAGGGGACCTAGCTTTAAAATAAATGCATTTGTAAAAGAAAGAGAAAGTATATATTTGGACAGAGAAATGTTTTCCCATCTCTTGTATTTGCAAGGTGTAGGTATGATTCGAGCTATAAAGTACTACAGGTGGAAGTCGGAAGTGTTTCCTGTTCTGTCCCTTTCTAGGGTATTTCTGTTATCTTTTTGGGTAAGACAGAGCATGACTCTTGCTCTGAATTATTCCAGTTTATGGAGTCTTGTGTGGCAGAAATAGGGTCTCGCCATATACCTCAGATATCCTTGAACTCACTGTGTAGCCCAGGCTGGCTCCCTCCTGCCTTAGTGCTTATGTTACATGTGTGACAGCACACTCAGCTTGGTTGTGTGTTTTGGGAGAAGTTGATAACTAAAATGTTTAAGAATGACACTATTGTCATTGTATACTACCAGACAAAACCAAGGCTGTATGGATTTAAATTGTCCTTATTTTTTGTATCATTGTAATTCAGATCTGAAAATATATGAAGACATAATAAATACTGGCTTTGAGGGAAGAAATTTAACAAATTAACAAAGATAGTTTTTGTAATTTATATAAATCACTTCCATTTGTACGCAGGAAAATTTTCTAATATGACTTAGAACCTCTCAACTTGGTTTTTTTTTTAGCTCCTCGGTGAGTTGGAAAAAGATCCCAAACTTGTTTATCACATTGGCCTTACTCCAGCAAAACTTCCAGACCTAGTGGAAAACAACCCGTTAGTTGCTATAGAAATGCTGCTGAAACTAATGCAGTCAAGCCAGATCACGGAGTATTTCTCTGTCCTGGTCAATATGGACATGTCCTTACATTCAATGGAAGTTGTGAATCGGTAAGTTCTCATGTTCCACCAGAGGTGGCATACAGACCCTGATCAAATTACCCAGAAGTTTGAAAAGCTGTAGTAGTTTCTCTTCCCTTTTCTGATTCTGTTACCTTGAACTAATCCTTAGTGTTCAATGGATGTGAACTTAATCTCAATTTGTAAGAACTCAGTTGTTTACTTCACTGTCTTGTGCCCCTTACAGACTCAGGTTTTATGTTCCCTGACAGCCAGGAGTGGCAGCATGCCTGTGTGGCTCTTAGAACTGGACCTCTAGGCATGCTGTCCTGGTTATTAGTATTCTCCCAGCCCTGACTGTCCTAGAACTCACTGTGTAGACCAGACTGGCCTCAAACTCACGGAGATCCACATGCTTCTGACCCCCAAGTGCTGAAATCAAAAATGTGGACCAGCACACCCAGTTTCCCAGTTCTTGCCCAATGAACATCAAGGAAAGAATGCATGCCCCAGTTGTGTTCTGTATAGTTTTCATCTTATTTTCCTTATAGATAGAGTTTAGGTAAATTGTGAATTAAATATAGTGAGGTGGGTGTGGTATTATTTTTCTGAGGTAGTTTTTTTGTTTGTTTTGAGATAGGATCTCAGTATCCTGGTGGCTTCAAATTCATAGCAGTCCGTCTGCCTCATTCTCTGAATGCTGGAATCATGGGTGTGAACCAGATTACAATTTTTTGAGCATCCATGTATAAGTTGGCAGTTGTTTCGAACTTGAACTAAGGAATGTGCTGGTCACCCACCTGGTGACAGTAGCTTGGCTGGTAGCTCAGTGCACCAGAAAGGGTGGGAGATGAAAGGAAGCATGAGTTTTCCAGTTACTTTGTAAGACTCTCACCGGCAGAGCTGCCTGCCTGCTTGTGGAGAACTTGCTGTTTGCTTCTACCTCTCCTTGCTGGGACCTCCTTTACTATAGTTGCAGTTGCTGTTTTTGCATTGGCAAAGTTCTACCTTTGGAATGGAGAAATCTGAGTGTTTGTGGATTCCCCCTCTCTGCATTTCTGTAATACTGCCTCTGTCAATCAAGTCCTACTTTTGCTTGTTTCCTAGCACCTTCATAATTTATGATTTCCAAGGATCAAGCGGCCTTGCTGATGCACAAATCTCAGTGGGTATAGTGGCTGGTTGTAGCTTTTTTTTTTTGGTTTTTCAAGACAGGGTTTCTCTGTGTAGTTCTGGTTGTCCTGGAACTCACTCTGTAGACCAGGCTGACCTCGTGGTTGTAGCTTTCTTAAAGTACTTTAGTGCCTTATGTTTAAGGATGAATAGATTTAGAAAGGTGTGTATTCCTTCACCTTTTCAAAGTTTGTAGTGAAAGGTTTGCAGTAGCCAGCCCAGTGTTGTAGTTTCTTGGGCTGAACTTCAACTCAGTGTGGAATTCTTACCTAATTTCTTAGTATTTCATTTACTCATTTGGGAAAACTCTCTTGGTTTTAACCACTCCAAGCTTGTTACATAGTTGCCGTTTCTGTGTAATGGCTGACTCCAAGTCTGCTTCCCTTACTCAGTTCTCAGGAAGGCCTTTTTTTTCTAGGGAACAAAAAGATCAGCGAAGTATCTTTTCAAGGCTTTACCAGGTTCATGTTACTTCTCCAACTGCCTCTCCGAGTGCTTACACGTAAAGGACTTTTCTAAGTTTTAAATGATGGCAACAACTGCTGGTTATTTGAGGCTTAGAAGTGGGGAGACCGTCGGACAGTGATCCAGCCAGGTGCACTGAGGAATAGGATACTCATTGCTTAATGGGTCATTACAGAGTATAATTGGTAATATAGACTTAACAGAAGCATTAGAGGTTTAAGCCCAAGGCTGTGGCTCTTGGGTTTAAAACTAGAGAACTGGGTCAGATAAATTATTAGATGATCACAGTGAAGTCTTGACTTGATGATTACAATACTTCCCAGTACTTGCAAACACAGCTAACAGTTCAAATTTTCTTTTGTGAAACAGACTAACTACAGCTGTTGACCTACCTCCTGAATTTATTCACTTATACATATCCAATTGCATTTCTACTTGTGAACAAATTAAGGATAAATATATGCAGGTGAGTAGTATAAATGCTTCTAACATTTATCATCTGCCAAGAAAACAAGTTTCTAAAACTTTGTTCCTTTTTCTTTTCCAGAATCGTTTGGTGCGTCTTGTGTGTGTGTTTCTACAGTCTTTGATCCGTAACAAAATTATTAATGTGCAGGACTTGTTTATAGAAGTGCAGGCCTTCTGCATTGAATTCAGTAGGATACGGGAAGCTGCAGGCCTGTTCCGGTTGTTGAAGACACTGGATACTGGGGAAACCCCTTCAGAGACCAAAATATCAAAATAATACCTCACCAGAACTGCCCCTTCTATTGTTCACAGCTGTATTTGGATTGGTTTTTAAACTGTTGTAACTCTTGAGTGGATTGCTTGCTTTATCTAAGAAATATAAATGACACTTTATTTACTTAAAGTAAAATTTCCTTTTTCCTAGATGTTTCCCATGGGTGAATTTTGGTAAGAACTTGGAAAAATGTATCTTTTAGCTCTCTTGCTGAAGACAATCCATATGAAGAATAGTTATTCTAAATATAGTTACTGTAAGAAAGGAGGTATAGATGTTTCTCTTTTGAATTTAAAACACAATACCTGTTTCTTTTAGAAAACAATCTGTAAGTTTCTGAAAAACCAGGAATTTGCTTTTGTAGCTTCTAGTGTGAAGCATGCTCAGTGAGTGCAGACACTGAGAATTTACAGTGAGTGTGTTTCCTACCAAGCAAGGTGTGAAACGAGGGTGCACACTTGACAACATGTTCTTGGCCCACTGACAGGCATGAGCGCTCAAGCCAGGCTGATACTGTGACGGTATATGATAGGCGTGGTTTTTGTGGTCTTAAGGACAAATATGAGCTGGCACACTAGAAATGTATACCCTAGATGTCTGTTTGGTGAGGAGGTAAAACACAATCAGTAGAGTGTGCCTTAATATTTAAGACAGGGTACATCTATGTAATCCTGGAGCTCACTGTGCAGAGCAGGCTGGCCTTGAAATCAGAGATCTTCTGCCTCTGCATGCTGTGATTAAAGTGTATACCACCAAATCCAGCCTTTTTTTTTTTTTTTAAATTTTGTCTGACATACCATTTTACTTGAAAAAATTATGAAGAATTCCTTTTATGGTGGTATCTCTAGAACCGGTTTATGGGAACAGAATCTGTTCTCCCACAACTGGCAAGAGTTAAAGGAAGCCAAGCTTGGTGATTTTGTTTTATTGTACAATTACAATCTTCTAACAGTGGAGAAGGAATAAGAAGAAATGACCCTTGAGCCCCTGTAGGAGTGACCCCCTCTGAACTAAACAGGTGTCTTCTCTCAGTGTCCCGAAGTGGCCACCACTATTTTGCAGATGGCACTGGGTGAAGAACAGCCCATGACCAAACCACTGTTTTAGAGAGACAAGTTTCAAAGACTCATTTGGGCAACAGCTCTACAGCTGATAGGCATGCCTGCCACGTAGCCCAGATTAGCTATGGCCACAGCCCAACACACAATCGAAAAAGTAATTAAAATGACAGTAGACAGATGTAGATACTTACTCCCGACCACTGGACTGAAGCTGGGGACTCCTATGGTTGAATTAAAGGAAGGAGCTGAAAGGGAGGACAAACCCATAGGAAGACCAGCAGTCTCAACTAACCCAGACTACTGGGAGCTCCCAGAGACTGAGCCACCAACTAGGCAACATATAGGGCTTGTCTGAGGCCCCCTCCCGCAGCCCCCCCACCCCGGCACATATATGGTAGAGGGCTGCTTGGTCTGGCCTCTGGGAAAAGATGCACCCAATCCTTGAGAGACTTGAGGCATCAGGGAAGGAGGGGTGGTGGCACACAACCTTTTGGAGACGGGGGGGGGGGGGGGGGGGGGGAGGGGAGGTCTGGAGGAACAATGGCTGGAATATAAATAAAATTTTTAAAAAAGGAAAATTATGACATTTTCTTATTTAGGGGAAGGTTATATGTGTGCATTTATTTCTGAAAGTTGGTTGTGTGGCTCTTGAGCATCTATTTCATAGATGACAATTATCCTGTCAAGATGTCCATGAGTTTAGTAAAATACCTTTACCCTGCAGCCAACAAGGACACAAATGGGATCCATGAACAAAAACCCCTGAAGCTTTATTTAACATGTACTTTGTCCATGAAGCTTGTCACAGCTTCATTAAGCTTACACCAGGAGATGGTAATTCTTTATATGTTCATTCATTTTAAAAAATGAAATTGTCAAGACAAACACAATTCCCCCCCTTCACCCCCATAGGGTACGAGAGCTTGGAAGAGATCTTTGCAGTGAAAGCTTCAGCAAAAAGGCACAAGCAACACAAAATTTTTATGCTTTTGTGTATCAAAAACAAGCTGTGCTGTGGCACACAGGAAAATTGCAAGTTGTCTGTTGATTTTGGAATCCCAAACAAATGTCTCAATTAAGGACACTACAATGAGGAAGGTCAAGATCACAATCTTGGTGTTCACTAGGAAAACAGACTGTTCACAAAGAATAGTTGTGCTTGGCAAACATTAGATGTACATACGTCAAGCTTGGAACACCACTACATGGCTCTTAGCGTGTATAAAGACAAGGTGCACACACTGGTGCAGCCCTGTAGTCCCAGCTACAACCGATTGTTTTAACCCAGAAAGTTGAGGGCAGCCTGGGCAACAAGTTATAATCTTGAGGTTGAATAACTACAACCAACTTTTAAGTAAAATTGAGTGAGTTTAATATGGGTTAAGTAACTTCATCAAAGTTTTTTAATCCAACTTCAGTCTTCAAATCACCTGTTCAAAGAACAGAACATTATCAGTAGCATTTTAAGAATAGAACTTTTTAAAAAACACTTTGGAATTCCAAAATGGTCAACCACTTATATAACTCTCAACAGCATTTACTACTGATTTAATTAAGCAACTTTACAGAAGTAAAGCCACTAAGTCTATAGGGCATGGTCTCATTTACACTTAATTTTAAGTATCACACATTATATATTTTAGATAACATTTCCATAGTAATTAGTTGTGGGCCTGCATCTTACAGTCTATGCAACAGACTATGCAACATTTTGAGTAGCTCTTGATTACAAGGGTATCTGAGAAATTAGTACTAGGAAAAAACATTCTATATCTTTATCAAATCTTAGCAACTGCCAATTTAATTTCATCGTTATCTCTTTTCTTGCTACTACTGTCTGTATTAAGGAATATCCAAGATTTACTAAAGCTTGAGATTTGGAACTACAATGGGCCTACAGAAAATACTGCTTTCCCCAGACATCTCACCAGCCCAGCACACAGCCTATCATTTGTCAAAAAGATGGACTTCTGCTCCTCATATTTTCAATGAATGGGCAAGTACTTCAACTCTGGATTCTGTTCTATACTTTGCTATACGAGGAGGCAAGTGGGTGCATGGCAGAGGCCTCACTATAATGAGGGATGCAAATACCATCTTTGGAAATGAAATGTTGACCAATGTTTCTAAGGCTTTAGAAGCAAGACTGAGCTAGGAAAGGCATAGGTACTTTTCTAATGTGTTGAATCATAAAAGCACAACATTGTATTTTACCACAAAGCTATCCCTACTTCAGGCCCACATCTAGTGCTTAGGAAAGAGCAAAGCAATGTTTTCCTGATCTGTAAAAACTGCTTTTGTCTAAATGTCCTCAAGTCCTACCTAATGTAGGGACGTGCTGATTAAACCTCGTCCTTTCTTGAGCAAGAAACATCAACTTTCACCACGAGAATTGCTGCCAAATTTAGCTATCTTGTTCTAGAAGGGATACTGTGACTTACAATTCTAGCAGTCCTTGATTTGTAAGAGTATCTAAAGGTACACTGACACTGCTTTTCTTGCAACCCGCCCTCCTGCACTCAGCAAGTAGAGCACAGGCAGGAAGTTTGGGCTCTGGCATGACTGAGGTCAGACAGTGACTCGCTTCAGGGGGTTTTGTCATCGTGTGCCCACAGAGAGCGAACTGTTGATGGAGACACTGCAATTCGGCCTTTTACTGTCATCACTCCTCAGCAGCCATGGTGAACAGTCACTGGGAAGAAAGGTCCAAGACCCCAGTCAATTCAGCAAGTGAGAGACAATTACCTGCAAGGTGAGATCACCTGGTCACAGCTCAAGTACTCTGCTGGGAGAGTCAAGGTCAGCGCTGAGAGTGAAAGCCGGGAGAGCAGAAACCACAGGAAATAGCTTCTGTGTCAGGACACTGCCTCCAGTTTTCACATCACTGTTCAGCTAGAGGTGATCTCACTGCTGGGAAGACGGAGGCACAAGGATGCTGAATTCAAACTCAGAATAAGCAGTGAGACTCTGCCTTAGAAAGTCTTCTGTAAACTAAATGATTAAAAACATTTTACCTTGATCTATCACAAGATCCTTCATTAGCTGTTAGAAAGATTACAGGATTTTCCCTGGTATGTCTTAAAAAACACAGTAGCACTGATCTACTTGACACTGAATTCATGCTTTCCTGTTTGCACAGGACACAGTGAGGTTAGGTGATAACTGGTAAAGGCAACTTTGAGACTCTAAAAAGTACTCAAAGTAAGGTTTTCTACTTCTAACACCTCATTATATTCATCTGGTTATACATTTCTTTCAATAAAACTCACCACATATTTTACTATGAGTAGCTAAAAAACTGGTGAAAAATGGCTAGGTTAGACACTTTATAAAACACTATGTCTTAGAAATGGCTCTAAGGATAAACTTAGCCTTTAAAGTTGTATTTTCTTGGTGCTGGCTTCCTGTTGGGACAGCTTCTGCGATTTTCTGGAGACCTGGGAACAAGCCCTTGGTGCAGATGTTCTACCTGTGAAGACGGTGTATGGTGCCATGGTGCTGTCCCAAAGCCAGCTCTGAGAGATGCTGTCCACATACAGAGACACATGACATAAAACTGCCCTTATTACTCTACACAAAAACCTCAAAATTGTACTGGACTTTTTTTTTTTTTTAATGATGGCAGTTCCAGGGAACCAAACCACATGAATAGAAACACCTCTTGTCAGATTTTTGGAGTTTATTTAGGTCATGACTGTAGTATTTGGAGAAGGACCTTTCTCAGTGTTCGCCATCCTGTCATTTCTACATACTAGCCTTTGTCCCTGAAAGCAAGACCACCAAAGACCTCCCATATGCTGGGTGTGCCAAGTGGAATCTCTGTATACCTGTCTGGATACCTCCCTCCCAAACCCCAGTGGTTATCTCAGCTATCCTTACACCAGGTAGTCCACACACTGCCACAAGTTCCCAGTACCTTTTCGAGGCTCCTGTAACTACTGTTGGTCCCAGAGGTGATGAAACTTTCAGTGAGGACACTATCCGAGCATCCCTCAGCAGTCAGATGGATCACAGTTAGTTAAACTAGAAGGACTTGTGAAGAAAGACAAAAGACCAAGTTTTGCCCTGGAGAAGATGGAAGATAGATCTGAGAATGGTGAAGTTATTCCTAACTTCATGCTATGAAGACATGTATCTTTTACTTGGCAGAAGCCTTCACAGATAGAGTAACAGACCTGGATGTGTTCCTGACTCATGTCTGTCTCCTGTCCTGTAGACAGTTCCAGCTGAGGACATTAATGCAAAGCACAACACAGACCATGCGTCAGTGACCCCCTACTGAAGTGTGCTGTCAGCCAGAGACCAACTTCTTCTTTTTTTTTTCCCAAAGGGGAGGGGCAGAGACCAACTTCTTAAAGCATTCTTTTTTAGGCTGGAGAGATGGTTCAGTGTCTAAAAGCACTGGCAGCTTTCCTAGAGAACTCAGGTTCAATACCTAGTGCCCACAAAGCAGTTCACAGCCCTCTGTAACCCCGGTTGCAGCAGATCTGACAGCCTCTTCTGGCCTCTCTTGGCATTAGGCATGTAGATGACGCACAGATGTACATGCAGGAAAGTACTCATATACATAAAGTCAACTTTAAAAAAATAAAAGCTTTCTCAGTTTATCACTGAAGTGTAAAATATTTTGATCAAGAACGTATTTTCTTTCCTTTGCATAAAGACTAGCTTTTATTAATGCACTTTCTATCCTCTGTAAACTTTTTGTGCTCAACATTGGGGCTGATTATGTTAAATAAAATTTGTTACATAGAAAAATTTTTGTCAATAAGCATTTATTTTTGTCTACAAAGTAGACATACAAGTTTAGAATCAACAACAAAAGACTCCTCGCTCTTGAAAGTGTGTATCTAAGCACTATATAGAACTCAGACAACAGTCTTTAAAGACTTCACGGTGAGAACATCAAGCAGGAAAGGATACAAGGTCACAGTATTGACTCGGCTTAAAATCTCATTAGGAAAATGTTACTTCAGTCTAACAACAAAATAAAAATTTTAATTAAATATTTTTACTTGTAAAGATTAAACCCACTGAAATATACTAATCATTTAAAAACATTACAGTATGCCTACTTGATTTTCTTAACGAATCAATATTTTAATGCTTTTTAACATGCAATATGGCATTTTTGCCAGTATTTTTTAATTTGTAGAAAAACATGGATAAATTCCCTTCTCCTTCCAAGTGAAAAGAAATTAGGCAATAAAGGTAAAAATCATAAAGATTTTATAAAGGTAAAGATGCGAATCATAAAATCATCTAGTGTTCCTTTCACAGTTCCACATAATAAAAACGCAGGCGCGGTTCTAAAGTCTCTATAGACAATATAGTGCAAGACACTTCTCTCTCCCTTTAACCCTCCGTAGCAGTCTTGCTACATAGCCCAAGGTAGGCTTGAACTCAAGATCCTCTTGCCTCAGGCTCCTGAGTTTGCAGGCATGTACCACTGCCCATGGCAAGTTTCTCATGTACACCTTCTACAGTCTCTGCTTCAGGGAACGTTCATGTGATCAATAAGGAACTACATTTCACAATTCAACTTAGTGAGCTCTGTCTTAAAAGACTGAGAAACAGAATCTTGTTTTATAGTACCACAGAAGCTAGTCTAGTACTCAGGAACAACCCCTCCATATACATCTGTGACAGTTTGACACAACAAAATCTACGATAAACATACTTTAGTAGATAAATAGGTGAAGGCTAATTAAAAGTCTTTTAGGAATAAAATATCTCAGCCCTTTGTATATCAAACCTGAATCTGAAAGGTAAAGTAAAATAAAATCCACTGTTTTCAAGTATACAAACTATGCCTTAGAGTAAAAAACTGAATGTCCTGTATTCAAGCCAAGGCTCTGTCGGTGAGGCTGTCAGTGAGGACGGTGCTAGCATACGGATCCTCCGTGCTGAGGGTCACTCCTGCTGGCTCCTACAACAAAGCATCAAAAGCCACCCTAGGTCAGTTGATCTGTCCAGCCTCAGGTACACATGTGGACATAATCATTCAAGAAACAAATTATAAAAACATTTAAATAAAACTTACATGTAAAAAGACAAACCATTTCAAACACAGCCAGTAAGAGAAATACAGAGATACCCTTTCATTAAGTATGACAGACAGGCTTTCTAGTGTTATCTGAGGCAACATTCATCTGGTGACTGCCTTTAAAGGACCGCTGTGCTTACATATCTCAAGTTGGGTCATGTTCTTAGCAAAAGAAATTTAGTTTTCTTTCTGGACTCAAATCACAGTACTATATACGCACTTTGACTCAAAAAGATTCATAAAAGCAAAACTCCTTACTATGTTGCTTTATAATGTGGTTAGTTAGAGAACTGATGAGGTCAAGCCCCAGCTTTATGATCCTGTGAAATCCGTTCCCAAGAGCCACCATAATGTATTCTTTTTTCTCTTCCCTCTAGTATTGGTGTAAAACTTAAGCTCTCGGGGCTTGGAAGCTAGTTAAGCTCCTAAAGTGCCTTCCACCTCAGCCCGATCTCCAGAACACCCATAAACAAAGTTGGGTGTACTAGTGTGCTTATAATCCTAGAGCTAAAAGGAATGGAGTGGGACAGATCCATCCCTGAGACTCCCCAGCCATTCAGCCTAGCTTTACTAGACAAGTCCAGGCTGGTAGAAGATCTTTCTCAAAGAATACAGTGGATGATGCCTTGAAGAATGAAGCTTGAGTCTGACCTCTGACCTACACACACATGTGCACATAGCACTTACACCTGCATACACACGTGCAGCACACCCTCCCAACAAACACATATACAATAAAAACGAAAGTTCTAACCATTCCTGTAGGTTTTCCAAAACAGGTTAAAAAACAATCTGATTCAATTTGAATCTTGCTGTCTTGGAAATCTTTTTCAGTATAGCCAAATTCAAAATTAGAAGCATCAATTACTCTCAATTAAAATAATCTACAAATTATTTTATCTATAAATTTATCTATAGATTATTTTAATTCTAATAAAAATGGTGAGACTTTAATTGACAAAGTAAAATTTTTATTTTATGTATATGGGCATTTTGCCTGTATGTATGTATGTATATATGCATGCATGCATGCATGTATATCATATGTATGCCTGGTGCCTGTAGAGGCCAAAGAGGGTATCAGATCCCCAGGAAGTAGAGTTATAGATAGTTGTGAACCACCATGTGAGTGCTAGTAATGGAACGGATCTTAAGGCCTCTGGAAGAGCACCCAGTGCTCTTAACCACAGAGCAATCTCTACACCCACCCTTTTCTTTAGAGAGAGGGTCTTACTATGTAACCCTGGCTAGTTTGGAACTCCCTATATAGACCAGGCTAGCCTCAAACTCAAAAGATCTTCTTGCCTCTGGCTCTAAAGTGATGGGATTAAAGGCACACACTATCACACTAGGCCCCAAATAACTTCATCTTTAAAGAATAGAGAAGAGGGGCCAGCAAGATGGCTGATAAGTACAGAGTTCCTGCTGCCAACCCTGAGTGTCATCCCTGGGACCTATGGTAGGAGAGTACTGACTCCTCAAAGTGATCCTCCAACTTCTACACTTCCGTGATGACACACATGGGTATCCCAATAAATAAGTGAGTCAACATATTAATTAAAAAGGGGTAGATATGGGGATGCAGCTCAGTTGGTAGAGCGCCTACTTGGCATGCAGACAGCCTGGAGTTTGATCCCAAGCACTGCATCCAATCAATGTGGTAATGCATGCCTATAACCTCACACTCAGGAGGTGAGATCAGAGGATCAAGTTCAAGGTCATCTTCAGCTATCTAGGGAAGTTGAGGTTAGCCTGGCATACATAAGACACAGTTTCAAAAAGGAATTTGGGGAAAAAAAGGAAACCCCACAAATATTACCAAAACATAGGTCAATAATTCTCTAACAAACCATCACCAACCAAGAAGAAAAAGACTTTCCTATTTAGCATGCCATAAAAGCCCCAAGACACTAAAAGACAGAAAAAGTACAAAGAGGCTAAGAATACAGAAGTCAGGCACTGGAATACAGCCAAGTGGCAGTGTTTGTGCTTAGCATTCCCCAACACAAAGAAGAAATGAAGAAATAAAGAAAGTGAGGGAGAGGAGATACAATATATGACAAAAGTCTTATACTTCCCATATTAAATTTTAAAAGTTCTAAGAAAGGGCTAGAGGTACACTTTGTCAGGCAAGCCCAAAGCCCTAGGCTTGGGCCCACTACAATTAAAAAAAAAAAAAATTCTACAACCTGATGTTTGAATGAGAATGGCCCCACAGGCGCAAGTACTCCACCACTTGGTCTCCTGCCTCTGGGATTGTGTGTCTGAGAAGGATTAGTGGTGTGGCCTTGTTGGGGGAAAGACACTGGGGATGAGGGGCTGCAGTAAGCCAACACAGCAGGCCCAGTCTCTCTCCCTCCCTTCCTCTCACTGTGGGTAAGCTACTGCTCCAGTGCTTGCCTGCCTGCTGCCACACTCCCCACCATGAGGGCCACAAACTCTCATCTTCTGGAGCAGTGAGCTCCAACAAAGTTCCCTTTTAAGTTGCCTTGGTCATGGTGGTTTGCCACGGCATCAGAAAAGTAACTAAGAGCTTGAACTAAGAATTAGTAAGAAAAGGCAATTGAATTGAGAAGCAGTGGCAAGAAGACCGTGACCGACGACGTGCTGCACCATACGACCAGACTACAGAAACCACCGGAAACGTAAACATGAATTAAGCAACTCAAAAGAAAATTTAAAAACTTAAACACAACATGGTCATAAAAATTTATCTACCAAGTGATACAGAAACATCAAAGAACAGTTATATCATATATAGAAAGAACATCATATATCAAAAGAAGTTTACCAAACAGCATTTGTATGATACTCCCCCATTCTTGAGAATGTATGTATCAAAAGGTTAAAATGGCATCTCTACGTGTGGGACTGCAGTTTTCATTTATGCTTCAATATCTTCCTGCTTTTCATTTCACTCCGTCACTGGTAACATCATGGATTTACAGCTGCAGCCACATACCTAGTAATGCTGTGTCTTCCCCTGCATCTTCTTTAAGACAGGGGCGGTGTGGCCCAGACTCGCTTGAGGAAGATGATGGAAGGTTGCTTTCACTCCTCTCCTCATCATGGGATGTCACACTCAGATTCCCAACAGAAACATTTCCTGGGGCAGCTTCCGGGATGGGTAGCTCCTGTGGATCCTCAGGGTCCCCCTTGAGAGGCAGACAAAAGGCAATGAATGGCTTTCTCAGTGACATGATCAGTGGAGGGTCATATTGCTAGTAAATTCACGTGAGATCTCCTTGACTCTCTACAGGGAACCTGGTGGGAAGCATACCCCCTCCTGTATCCAGTCAGTAAGACCTATAAAGTTTGGCTTGTTTTCCTCTAAAGAGTTTCCCTACTTGATGGAAGTTGTAGCTCACCTTTTAAAGTATTTAAACAAAGTGGCTACTCCATGAAACTGTCTTCTTGCGGAGTCTGTGAACCTGTCCAGCCTCACTGTGGCTCTCTCAGCCCCAGTAACAACCCTGGGCCATTTCACAGCACAGCACCAGGGTGTCAGACACAAACAGGCTCTGAATAGCTTAAGGCTTCATATTTCTGTTTTAAAAAACTGTTCTGTGTCCTTCCTTATGTATCTTTTCTCCACTGTGGTTTGTCTCCAACTCCCCCACCCCCTTCTCTTTGTTGCACTGAAGGAAGATAAAGAAAGCATAGCCAGAGACTCCTTTAGTCACACTCCATTAAGGCTCAACACCAGCGGGTGGGTGTCTCAGACATTCTTTTTGGTTAGCCTAAGAGCCACAGACGCACGTAGGCGGATGAAACTCCCGGAAAGTGACTAAGGGTTGTAGGCTGTGAGCGTGGGGTTCACTGGCACTCAGACGTCTCTGCTCTGTTCTGGAGCCTTTTAAAGTCACCCCCTCCTCCCTCACCAGTAACGAGCCATTCTAGACACATCAAGCAGAATTCCTGTTGTCATGTCACAAAACCAACTCCTATTTAGCCTCATCCCAACCTACTTTTCAACAAACCTGCCAAACCTAGCTCTCCACCAAGCTCCACCTGAGTTCCCATCCCTGTGCACGCACCATCCACCTCAAGTGTCACTGAGGTGACAGTCCCTCAGAGTCCCACTGAAATACACTCCTCTATTTCCTTTTCTGACCCAGATGACATCTACTATGTTCCCTTGCTAGGCTATATCTCCAGATATATCCTGCCTCAGTTGGCCTGAAAGTGAAATCCCCAAGAACCCTATACCTTATTTATCTCTAAGCCAAGTAACATCTTAGACAGCATTTGGTTTTGCCCAATGAATGCTGTGGACATGGTTGCAAACCAAAAGACTGCTTTCAAGTCTGTGTAAGGGTCACTAGGGACTCTACTGGTGATAGGGAAGTGAACCCTTTAAAACTGAGACACTAAACTCAAGACACACCCTTAGTGCTGAAGTTGCAGTAGCTTCCTGACCTTCACAAAGGACACATATGTTACATACACATTCTCTGTATTCTAGTAAGAAAATAATTCAACCTCATATAAAATAAAGACTCATCTCTAATACACGAGTATAAGTGGGCCTATATTCTCTGAACAAAATGTACAAGGATGCAAGCCTTTGCTTATTAGCTAAAAACAGAAATTGGTCTCACATAAATGTCAAGAGTGGAAAAGCTGGTTTAGGATCACTAAACAAAGACAACTTAGCATAATCTTGCAGTGCACCTAAGGAAGGGAATTTAAGACTTTGTCAAGAAAGCAATTCATCAGCCTCTGTGTTTTCTCATTTAAAATTCTGACCCGCGAAGGTTCAGCCTCTTGTTGAACTGCAGTTTCTACATAGAGGGCCTGAACTAAGTAAGTCAGCCCACGAGGGATGTATGCTATCCCAGGCTAAAGGGACAGGTAATTAAAAGCTGCCAATAAAAGGAGTTTAGGAATTCTATAAGGAAGACACGTTTCAGGACAAAGCAGGACGAGGCTGTAGCATAGCAGTCCTCAGGTGAAACAGTTTTTCCCTGAGGGGCTAAGCTCAGAAACAAGAGACACACCAAGCTAAAGAATGATGTCAGACCTGAAGCCCATAAAGCCACCCCGTTCTATGCGTAGCTCTTAGAGACACCATTACAGACGCATACATGGCTATTGTAGCTTTAAGTTGTATATAATGTTCACCCACTCTATGTGCTGGGGAGACTGAGTCCAGGACTTTAGTGCAAGGTCTTGTAGCATCCTGGGCTGCATTCCCAGTCCTTCAAATGTTAGCTAAAATACGCTATGATTTTATCAATAGTATTTTTGAGGCATAATAGAGTATATGCAAATCTAAAAAACAAAAAAAACTGTGGCGGCCAGAAACAGTGAGAGCAGATGTCAGAAACCAGTGGGTATAGTATGTGTAACATGTGTCTCTTACATTCTGTGATTCAATTTATATAAAACCAAACACACAAGCGTCTGCACTCATGCACAAACACATGCATGCACAAGCAAACACACACAGACACAGAGGATACTAGAGTATACAGAACTATATTTAGGAGTTACAAATTGGGGAACATTCATGTTATAGTATTCTGTTATAAACTCAGTTCACTGATTTATGTGGACTACTCTACAAATTCACTTTTAATACTGAAAACTTCTTAAATAACAGTAAGGATATCAGAAGAAACATTTCATCTGTTCACCTTCTCTCTGGTCAGTAATAAAAGGGAGATACTCAGGAAGAACTGGGGTAGAGATTGAATATAAACAAAAACGTAACAAACCCAATATCCCAGGGCTTTGATGACATCAAGTTTACACATTGGACACGTTCGGTGATCCAAAAGCCATGGGTCAATGCATATTCTATGAAAAATATGCCTAAAAAAATTAAGTATGTATTAATGTCTTAAAATAAATGTTTGCATATCTTATAAAGGAAATAATGCATTTTACCAACACACCCTCTAATAAAGTGAGCCAACCATACATCAACACTCAAGTCCACCCACTTGTCTAAGCTATTTTCCAGTCTACTTTACACTTAGACTTTGGACTTAGTAGTGATTTTTTTTAAAAAAGTGAAAAGTTCCTCATTAAATAAAAACATGGTGCATGTGCAAGTGTGTGTGAGTCTATGGTTTTGAGATTAGGTTCTTGCTATGTTATGCAAGCTGGCCTCAAATGTGCTATGTAGTCAGTATTGGCTTGAACTCAGAATCCTCAGACCGCTGCCTCCCAAGTGCTAGGATTCTGTTATGCACTACAAGGCCCAATCATTTTGATGTGCCATAACAGAATATTTATAAACCATTTAGGCTAGTAAAGCCCATAAATAAGGTATCAGTAATAAACTGATCTCAAGCTGATAGAATCTTCTAGTCTATAAAGTGACTCGAGTGGAAGTACATACTAGTTATCCGAGCAGCAGAAAAAACAGTTATTTCCACTTGCACATTCTATAAGCCTCCTCGTGAATAAACATCTGTGCTACCAGAAAGGCACATATACTTTCTTTTCTTATTGGTTTATCTTGGTTTCCTGCCCCTCCCACATAATGTGTGAACTACAGGCTTTGAAACCAGACAGACAGGGCTCCAACCCCAGCTGTGTGACTAGACAGCACTACCACAGGGAGCTGCGTGTCTCCTAATCTCTCCACCTACACCTACACCGCGAGTTGTTCAGTGTCTACATTACTACTCATTACTATTATTACTCTGCTGAAGACTTCCTTAACACAAAAAGCTGCCAGTGCCATTAAAAACAGTAATTCTTAACTGTGAAACACTCTAGTCCAGTTTGTCATTCAACCACAAATTAAAGCTCAATGACCCAGAAGAAATTGTCCAAAAACAAGAAAGAAACTTCAGTTTTGTTGGGGGATGTTTTAACTTGCTGCTCAGGAGAAAAGTGGACAAAATAAAAACCCCAATAAGGAGAGCAAGGAATGTACACACCTAACACACCTGCAGGGGCCAAGTGTGAGCTCAGTGAAGCAGTGGTAAGCACATACCTCCACCTCTCTTCTGTGCAATCATGAGCATCCCTCTGAAATCGAAAGATCTGTTCTAAAACCAGCCTAAAACTCTTTCAATGTTTGTGTGCAGAGCATGATCAACCTATACTGACCTCAGTTCATTAAGTACCTACTGTGCTGATTGTGTATAAATACTGACAGACTTTAGCCAGGCACCCCTCAAGGAACTGTTATTATTGTGGTACTCATTTTATTTCCTCAACAAAGTATCAAGAATTCAATCTACTAAAAATATCATATACATAGTAATATTTCTTTAAAGAAAAATCTAATACAGTACTTTATAACTTGATTCAAAAATATGTAAAGTATAATTGACATTTATTAGAATTTTTTTTTTTTTTTTTTTAGAAAATCTAATTTCTATACATAAACCCTTTTGCTAATCAGCAATTCTTTTATAGGGTTGTGTTTTTAAGATAGGATTTCTCTGTATAGCCCTACCTGTCCTGGAACTCACTCTGTAGACCAGGCTAGCCTCAAATTCAGAGACTCTCCTGCATCTGTCTCCCAAGTGTTAGGATTAAAGGTGTGAGAATACCACCTCCTGGTTAATCAGCAACTTTTTAAAACAAAATTTTTAAGTCAATTAAAGTAGCAGATTATTCGAAGTGAAATGGCTACTTCCCAGTTTGAAGTGCAGCTGTGCTACTGAAACCTCAGCAAAGGGAGGATACTCATTTCATACAGCCTCGGAAGCAACCCACACCCAGCACACAAGTAACGGCAAACTGCTGTGGGTCTGAACCTGCTTCTGGGTCACTTGAAGGCTCTCAGCCAGATGTTCTTGCTTCTCTCCTGCTAGCATGTACTCTGCCATACTGGGTGTATAAAGAAGTCTAAGCGAGCTTTGGTAAGACTAAAAGCCAATGTAAGACAAAGACACACAGCAGCTCTTAGTGGTCACCCACAGGTCTCTGAAGATAGTAAGGAAAGATGAGGCAATCCAAGATCACAAGAACTTCCTGTTAGAGAACATGGAACTCTCTGTCAGAACAGTGAAACTTGTTAAGTAATTTTCAATATCTTAGTAGGAAAAAAGTATTCATACTTGCATGGCAGGATTCTGATAACATCTTTGACTTTAAAGTTTTCAATACACACTGCACAATTCTCAGCATCAACATCAATTCCCTGCAGAGAGAGGGAGAGTGACATGTACACACATTGCTTATACAGCAACAATAAGTTAGAAAACAATGAAAGTGACCAAAACAATGGATCCTACTACTCTATGTTGCAACAACCCCAACCTACAACACATTTCCTTATTACCACTATCAAGCAGTTATATGAAGACACTGAATGAAAGGGGGAAAGAAAACCACTGTCTGCCTAACCCAGGCATTAACAGCGTTTTAAATAGTAAGTGTTTGAAGAAATATTAGATGATTAAGGGCTGCAGAAATGCAAGTCACTTCGTTTTTAGAGGTCTTGTTCCCAGCCTGGCCTCAGGCTCACTGTAGAGCCAACGGTGACCTTCATTTTCTCATGTTCCTGCCTCCATCTTCCAAAAACCTGGATTATACTTGGGAATCACCAGGCCTAATGTATATGGGGCTGGATACTGGGTTTAGGACTTTATCAATGCTAGACAACACTCTACGAAGCTAACTACATTCCAGCCATGCCAGCTGTTATGAAAAAAACAAAAAGAAGTATTTTCAAGTATAAAACATAGAGAATGAATATTCAAACAAGCCATTTGGATTCTGGAATTATTTAAAAAGAAATTTGTGTCTCTGGAAGAACATGGAGACAACTTGGCAAAAAGTACAATGGCTACACAGCTGAAATTTTACTTCATTATTGTTAACTTCCCGCCCCAAATTAAAACGAGTTAACACCTTTGCCTAAAAAATGAACAAACATATAAAGAAACAGACATTGCTAGCGGTAGGGTGGGAGAGTTGGCAACACTTCTACATCTAAAAGTCTATAGGCCATAGGCTTTCTGTGAGTTACCACAGGTCAGTGGAGATGGGACAAGCTGAGGTTCTGAGACAGGAATTCAGAACCTCACACAGCATGTACTTCTGAGGCTGCAATGTTTGGCAACTTCACATTATGAAACACAGCCCCACTACCCCTGAGTTATTATTTAAACATACCCTTACCTATAGCAATTAATGAGGAAGCAGTAAAAAACAGATTTTATATGTATATACCATTATCAGACTATTAAAATTAACTTTATAACAGCATTTGAAACTCTCTGTTGTGTTATTTTTGTAAGAAGATTCAGTTGTTATTTTTATATATAGCACCCTTGCATGAGTTTATACACACCATCTGCATGTATGACACTTTACAGGCCCAAAGCAGGAGTTCCTCAGAGGCAGAGGCAGTTGGGGTGGTTCTGAGCTGATCCAGGTACAATAGATCAAAGCCAGGCCTCTGCAAGAACAGTTAGCACTCCTGACCTCTGAACCATCTCTCCAGCCCCTTAAATTATATGTTGTGGGCTGGAGCAATGGCTCAGCAGTTAAGAGCACAAACTGCTCTTCCAGAGTTCAGTTCCCAGCAACCACATGGCGGCTCACACCATCTGTAATGGGATCCGATGCCCTTTTCTGGTGTGTCTGAAGAAAGTGATAGTATACTTGCATACATAAATCTTTTTTTTAAAAAATATATGCTGTGACAAAATACTTTAACTTATATATCATATATTATACAAGAAGCCATTTTAAAATTCTTTAATAATTTATAAGCTTATACATTATAAATAAATCCACAAAAAATTAAAAAAGAATAATCACTTGTCTTCAGGACTCGGTAAGATGCTGACTGCAAACAATCCTATTCCTGTGTCAGTTCACAGTATAAAAAAAAAGCTCCTAATCCAGGTGCATACTTCACAGACCAGGCCTTGTTAAACATTATTTTGACAGTTTTAAAACAAGTTCCTTGTATCATACAAATGTTTTATATAGGAAATATTTAACAAATGTTGGGTACAGGAATACTATCAATTTACTTGTACTCTCAAGGGCTTGGCTCAGTAAGTTACACATATGAATATGTCTTCTCACAGGCAAGGTATGAGATTTCCTGCTAAGGAGGGGAGAAAACAGCAGCAAGTAGAGTGGAGTTTTAATACTTTGTACAAAGTACTAATTTCCTTCCTGCAAATGAAATGAAGAACAAATAAATTTTTAGAAGTCAATTCTCACAGCCTAGGATCAGCATCTAATTTATAAACTGCTAGAAGAATCTTTTCTATTAATTCCTATGAAAAATTCTACACATACTCTTCATGACTAGTTATTAACTGGAAACTCACTGGGTGATTTGCAGAGTAAGAAATCAGTACCTTGCACCAACTATTAAAATTCCACTGTTACAGTGTAAACATTATCGGGGGCTGGGTGTAGTGGCATATGCCTTTACTCCCAGCACTTGGGAGGTAGAGGCAGGCAGATCTATATGAGATCTGGGCCAGCCTGGTCTACAGACAAAGTTCCAGGACAGACAGGATACATAGAGAAATCCTGTCCTGAAAAAACAACAACAAAAGTTATTGGGGTTACTGGGGAAGGAATGACCCACCACACAATCCCGAGTATATCTTAATCCTAAATATACCACAGAAGCCATTAATAACAGATCTTAATTTTTTTAAACTCAAAGGTCTAAAATGTAATGTCTTTTAAGAAAAGTCCTTTCTGTAGGCAGGGGAAGAATTGAAGTAGTTTCCTTTTTCTAGTCTTCCTTTCATGAAGGGAAGTGAAGACTGGAAGGTGAAACAGATTGAGTCTCAGAGCTTACTGGGAGCACCGGAGTGAGCCCACACACAAGGCAGCAGGAAGTGCAGAAGACGCCCGCGACAAGAACAAATACTTCCACACCAGGAAAGTTTCTCTCTACAGATCTGTCCTTGGGAGCCAGGCTCTGCGCTGCTCTCTAACTGCTTTCAGTCTCGGAATGAGCAGGCCAAAATGGCTCCTTTTTAAATGTGTAGTTTAAAAAATCTCCTTTCTCTCAATATGTCTTTGAAGGAACTGAAGGTCTTGGAGAGAATGCATATACAGACTCAGATTCAACAGAACACATTTACAGGTCTCAGGTGCATACTTTTTAAATGCATAGTATCTTTACAGTCTTCCCCTTGGCCCACGGGGACTTTCAATGATGGACTACTGGCACACTGACATTAGTAAGCACATGGAATGTAGGTGCTATCTTTTAAATCGGATTCAGCTCATTTAGTCTTTTTGGGAAGGAGTGCTGGAGCCATCTAGGACTCCATGCATGCTAAGCATGAGCTCCACCACTGAGCTCCACAGCGGGCCTGTGACTATAACTCATTTACAAGTAACTGAGGGCTGCTGTGGTGGCCCTTCAGTCATTACACTGTCAGCTCTCCTTACAATCTGACACACACATGTGAAGGCCTGATGAAGCATCATAGCTTGTTATTGCTGAACAGTAGCCTGAGAAGAAGACACTTGTCAAACTCATAACCATCCTCCAGTCTGAAGCAGACAAAGCACAGGAAAGGATTACCTTCTCTCCGTGCTTCACAGTGTGGAGTGGAAGCTGGCCAATGACCTTCTTAGTTTCCTTTCTATGATTCTTGGGGAGGAAAACAGTATTATTAAATAGTCTTTTCAAAGTAACCCACACACTACAATGCATGAAAATAACTTAGAAGAAAACCTTAACTTTTAATGTATAAAACAGCCATATAAACTTATAAGCTACTCAATAAGAATTATTATTATTATCACTATAATAAAGTGCTTCACTTTAAAGCCCTGACTGGCCTTGAGCTTGAAGCAATCGAGGATTACCATGCCCAGCTTAGAGTATATTTACTTACTTACTTGCTGATATGCAATAGTAACATTAAGTCTAGGGCCTCACAAATGCTAAGCAAGTACTACTCTACCACAGGGCTATATCCCCAACCCAGGAATAGTTCCTTCTAATTCCATATCTGAAAAAGAACACCCGCCTTTTTGTGTGTGAGAGAGACATTGAAATGGAAGTCAGGAACTCTAGTACTCTAATCATGAACTGTCATTTAGCCATACTTTTCAAGTTCTAGAAAACAATTCCTACACTTAAATATTGGCAAACAAGTAATGATATCCAGGAAGAAGGTATCATTCACTCTCCACCAATGATGCCCAAGAGGAAAGAGTCCTGCCTGGTTATCAGGCTAAGAACCATATTGTACATTAGGACCTAGTGTGCCACTGGAAACCTCCAGTTCTTCTCTGTGCTGTTATGGAGAAAGGGCCTGCCTTCAAATTGCTTGTCAGCCACGGCAGTGGATACAAAGCAGCCCTTGGCCTTATGCCGAGCAGAAAACAGGGACACACATGTTCATGCTGTCACATGCCCTTTTGCTAGTCCCCTCTGCCTACATAAAGACAGAAGGTACAGGTACCTGCAGAAACCAAATGTACAAAGAGTAACCCAATTAAAAATTTTATCAAAGTCATATGACTTCAATGAGTAAACTGAAATTAGTGTGGTTAAATGTAACTTCAAGCAGTATACAGACTATGTTTATGAGCAATCATTTAAAAAATCAAAACGAAGTTATTCATAACTACCTGACTTCCAAACTGTGAGCCAGTATATAGGAAACGCTGTATATAATAGAATATTAGCCATGCTAATGAGATAATCATCATCGTGATGAAGGCAATGGCCACAAACACCACAGACTGACCGCTGATGAACTCCTGCATATGGCGAGCACCAATCTCTATGCTCATTTTTACTGGAATTCCTTTTTGCACCAGATCAAAAATTTCTCGTCCTTTTGGGTAGCTAATCATAATGACGACTATCTTTCCTGTTCCTGCACAAAAAAAAAAAAAAGAAAAGAAAAAGAAATGAATAGAGAAGACAAAGTTTGGTAAAGTTGAGTATGTTCATTAACATGTACATTTGAAAACTTCAATAAAAATGAATAATTTTCAGAAAAACATAAACTGCCAAAACTGATTCCAAAGAGAACACAGTCTGACTGAAGTGAGAAAATCACCATTAACTATTCTCCCCAAACCTATGACACTGTGAAGATTCGCAGATGGTTCTATCATCAGACCTTTAAGAAGCACAAAATACTAGTGTATTTAAACAGTTCCACAGTTAATTAAAAATAAGAAAAGGACACTTTCAGGTGTGGTCAAAATCTAACCCAGAGGTGGAAACAAACAGCAGACTCTCAGCGTTAAGCTAAGCCTGGAATGTACAGTCAGTGAAGGCCAGCCCAGCTACACAGCAAGATCCTGTCCCAAAAACCAAAACCCAAGAGCTAGGGCTGGAGCTCAATGGTAGAGTACTTGCTGAACTCCAGAACTATAAAGACTATCAAGGATTATAAAATCAAAAACATGGTAATAAAAAGCAAAAGAATCACACAGATTAATTTCACTTATGAATATGAATGTAAAATGCTTCAAACATGCCCATCAGAATTAGGGAACATGTCTATAGAGTAAGTCCTAGGATAGCCAGAGCTGCACAGAGGAACCCAGTCTCAGGGGAAAAAAAAGAGGGACTGAGAGAGCTCTTCTGTGATCACTACCATTTTTTTCCTGAGCCAGTGGCTAACTATGTAGACCAAGCTGTCTTGAAACTCACTATTTAGTCCTGGCTGTCCTGGAACTCACTATGAAAACCAAGCTGTCCTGGAACTTACTAAGTAGACCAGGCTGTCCTGGAACTCACTATGTAGACCAGGCTGTCCTGGAACTCACTATGTAAGCTTGGCTGGCCCGGCACTCACTCTGTAGATCAGGCTGGCCTGGAACTCATGGAGATCCATCCGCCTTTGCCCCTGACTCCCCCAGAGCTGGGATTAAAGGTGTGCACTACCCTGCTCGGTTTGTGTTCACTACTACTTAACACTGCTTTGAAGACAAGCAGACCTGAGAGAAAAGAGACAGAAATTTTCAGTTTATTATGACTCTAGCTATAAATACACAGCAACCACAACATATCAACAGATAAACAAAAATACTCCCTCTAAAGTCACAAAGGGGCTAAGAAATGATCAGGAATACTTTTTAAACAATGAACCCCGGACAATGCTTTACAGGTAAAGCATTAAAACAGCAAGATGATGGCAGATAAGAATGTCCACAGAATGAGATGGAACAGAAAGTTCAGAAATAAACACAAATACACAAAAAAATCACATAGCAAGTGATAACAGAAATCAATCAGGAAAATGGACTATTTTTAAAAACCAAGTGAAGGCAAATGAATATTATATTGGGGAAAAATCTGTATGTTTTTCTCATAATGCATGCAAAAATAAATTGCTAAATCAAAAATGCAAATGTGTTTTAAAAAGAAATATACAAACTAGAAGAAGAGAATTACAATATGTACTATTAGAGAAAAAATTTCAATTATAAGGCCCGGAGAGATGGCTTGGAGGTGAAGAGCACCGACTGCTCTTCCAGAGGTCCTGAGTTCAATTCCCAGAAACCACATGGTGGCTCACAACCATCTGTAATGAGATCCGATGCCTACTTCTGGTGCATCTGAAGAGAGTGATAGTGTACTTACATAAAATAAATAAATAAATATTTTAAAAATTCAATTATAAAACTCCACCTAGAGGTTCTTAAATAGCCGTGATGGACATGGGAGAGGGGAGAGGGAGAGAATAATAGGAAAATAAAATGTTTTTCAAAGTCAAAGCTAAAATAACAAATGGCCAACTTGGGAAGAATAGTTATAATACATACAACAAAGTAGCTTTTATACAAAAAAGAACAACTTTGTGTTAATTAATTTTCAGAAAACTCTTAGTTTTAAAAATGGTTGTTTTACTGAGACACTAATTCAAATACCACACCAAACAAACAAACAAAACAACAACAACAAAAAACCCCACCAACTTGACAGCACAATTGGGTGGCTTAAAGACTGATAAGTACCACAATCTAATGCTGTCCCATTCCAAAACCTGAAGAAATCCTGGGTCCATCCATCTGCAGTCAACTCCCAGGGAGTGAGTTTTAAATATATGAAAACGTGTTTCAGCTATCTGTAAGATCAGCAAAGATCTATGTTTCACATATTCTACTGCCAAGATGCACGAGTCAGCATGTTTGCATACTCTGTGTGTGTGCAAGGGGGGTATTATAGAGATGGGGTGGGGCGGGCAAGAGGGAAGGGGAGGGGAGATATGAATTACTCTTGTATAGGAGACCATGGGTTACCAAAACAAGTGATAAACATGATATATAAAACACATATAAACATGATAGAATACCTGTAAAGATATTTTATTCAGCGATTTAAAATGTAATTAAAATGTTTATTTTATACATGTTAGTGTTTTGTCTGCAAGCATGTTTGTGTATCACATATGTGCCTGGTTACTATGGAGGCAGGGTGTCAGATGTCCTATAACTGGAGTTACAGTTGTGAGCTGCCACAAGAGAAGGAATGGAAGGATGGCTCAGCCCAGGTGCTCACCTGCTAGGCAGAAAGAAGGCTGACCTCTTCAAGACCATGAAAAAAGGTTAAATCCACTTATCCATACTGATCAGTCTATCGAACTGTCTCCTTCAGTTAATTTTTTTTTTTTAAAGATTTATTTATTTATTATATGTAAGCACACTGTAGCTGTCTTCAGACACCCATATGAGGGCATCAGATCTCATTGTAGATGGTTGTGAGCCACCATGTGGTTGCTGGGATTTGAACTCATGACCTCTAGAAGAGCAGTCAGTGCTCTTAACCGCTGAGCCATCTCACCAGCCCCTCCTTCAGTTAATTTTGAAGGCGCTGATATTAAACCAATCTAAGTGCAAAGGACAGACAGGACTAGTGTCTACGGGGCTGGGGATACCTCAATGGTACATGTGTGCTTAGCATGGAGAGGCAGAATTTAAACCCAAGCACCTCTCTAAAAATGTGTTTATTTCATGCGGTAAGGATGAGACAAACTCCTCAGTATGCCCGAGACCCCAATTTCAGTCCCCAGAAACAAAGATGGGTAAGACAAAGAGAGCTAAAGTTGCTAGATGCCTCCCTCCAGCTTGAGTCTACAGAGTCCTGCCAAGTCTGGCTGTTAACTGTGCCCAGATCTCAAACACACTTAGTCTCCCTCACTGACCGTGCTGCAGACAACACCAGAACAAGGCAGTGCTTTGCTAATGGTTATACTGATTGGGATAGAAGAATTCAGAAGCCTGGGCTTGGGGACACCATAAACATCATTTCCCTGGTAAGCAACAATGAAGTTCTGGTGTAGGTTAAATGGTGCAAAAATACTTAACCAGACTCCCCAAATATCACTCCAGAGACCACTTGGAGGTACAACTTTCTTTTTTTTTTTTTTTTTCATATAAACAACTTTAATGTAATAACATGGAATGCAAAAAGATTAGAACCATTATTAATAAAGTATCTGATTCTATTTTAAAAATCATTAAATAAATAAAACAGGACAGTGACCAGAGTAATAGTACCATTGTAATCACATTAAATAGAAAAGCTACCATCATTTTAAAGCTGTACCAAAAAGGCAGTACACACATTTTTTGTGACTCAAAGGCTTCAGATGTCGATGATAACAGGAACCAGGGTAGAAGCTCCACTGGGAGCTGCTCACTGACTGATGAAAAGGACCGTGAATCTCTGTATCTGCCCGTGGATAATTCTAACATCGTGTGGTAGATGAGACAGGTAGTACAGTATCTGCACAAAACTATACGCTTAGTAAAATAGTTATTTAAGCTGTTGTACCTTTTCCCATTTTTCTTCTCTTTTGTTGCTTTAAAAAGACTGTGGAGGGATAGGATTATCAATGTGCAAGTATGTATCTGGTGGTTCATAATAACAAGTGTCCAACTGTAATGTGAGAAGTGGTGCACCTTAAGTCTACATAGATGTATGAGACAAAAAGTAATTTTATGGTAAGAAACACCCTTATTCAATATATATACATATATTTAAAAATGAGCAGCATAGAGCAGACGTAACTGTTCACTACCCATACTCTTGACTACCAAGAAAAGAAGACAAACTTTAGAAAAATACAATGCAAGAAAAGATTCAAGTTGAAAATATATTCCTTTGGTTAAAAATCATCCCCCTTTGTGATCATTTGTACTCCCAGCAGCCATGGGCTGCTCCTGTGTCACGACACTGGCATACTATAGCATTTTCTCAGTCTAGTAGTTAGGGAGCTCACTGGGTTGCAGCAACAAAAAAGAACTCTAAAACAGTAAAGCCTTGTAGCATTAACCTCTTGGTGGTGGTTTTTACTTTAGGAACCTCCGACACATGTAATTTTCTTCAGATACTGTAAAGTCAAATTTTTTGTAGAAACCAACATTTTGTGGTAGACATTCAAGGGTGATCTTGTAACAGTTCAGTTTCTTGCTTAGCAAAGTAAGAGTTGATAATAACAGTTTGCCGAGCTGCTTCCCTCTGCACTCATCACTAACAACGACATCTTCTACTCTCCCTCTCTTAGCACATGAATGGATAAATTTATGTTCTATTATCAGAGTTGCTGTAGCCACAATTTGTCCTAGGGTCACATCTTCCACAACTGTAACATAGTAATCCTCAGACTTCTTCATATGCTCAAAAGATTTTATGAACTGCTCCTGGCTCACAACACCTGTCTCTGTCAGCTGACCCAATACCTTAAAAAAACCTTTATTTAAGTCTGCAGTACAGAGAGGCCTCAAAACCAAGCCTTCTCCAGGATGCGTTGGAGAAATGGCTGGAGAAAATATAGCTGTATTCTGACTCCAGTCCACCTCTTTGAGCAAACTTGGGTCAAACATAGGAGTTTCATCAGGTTTCATCTTTCCAGTAAAG